TATTTCCTATTGACAATTAATATTCAAAAAAAAGAAGGGAGTTGATACACTTTACAATTAGAGATTAGTGAATGTGCCTGAGTTCAGTCGTGGGGCAGGGAGTAGTTTGGCACTGCCACAGGGGCATCTACCAAAGCAAAAATACATAAAAAAATACCCTTCACTGGGGAGCGGGTCATCTTTTTTATGCATTGACAAAGGGTGACGCTGGACAAGCACCATTCATGTCAATTACATGCTTGGGAGATGCCCTTATGCTGTGTGTCGTGTTATAGAACAGAACGATTTTCACAGACAGCATCAGTGATTGTTTAGCATCACATATGTGTAATCAATTGTTTTACTTCTTCATTATTGCTAGGCCTCAATGCAACATCGGCAGCACTCCAATTTAATTGTTATACCTTGAAAAAAAAAAAGTATTTTTAGGTAGGTTGAATGTGACATTTGATTATTTAGCCAGAGGTAAAAGAGATGAACTGGCCAGTTGGAGTAGCCACCACAACAGATCTAAAAGCTATATGAATTTTCATTCTTAAAATAGAGTTACTTTTTTGTTTTATTAAATGGGCCCCCAGGGGTTTTTTGCTATAACTTGCTAGTACTGTATGTACCACATATTTGCACATTATGTTAGATTTATCTGTCAAACAATGCCTACAAGAACTCCTGGTCTCCGGTGCTTACATCTTCTCCGGGTCTTTCTTCTGGGTTCTGACTGTTTGCTTGTTTGAATGGCCAATCCATGATGACGTCACTCACATGCATAAGCGCATCAGTCACAACATCATGGCACAGAGTGCTGCCATAAATATATCAAGGCACACAGTGGTATTGTAAATGCATGCTCAGCGTACATTAGAACTGGCTGACAAGCAGGGGAAAGCATTTTTGACAAAAGAAGAGGTAAAACCCTACCTGTGAGCAGTTTCTTTTTTAAAAAGTGAGTTTATTTCTGCTTAACCTAGTCCTTAACCTTGTACACAATGACCAGAGGCTCAACAGTATGATATCATGATTTGTGAGCTTCTCTTTGTTATTCTAAAAGCTTACTAAAATATCAAAACAGAGTGCACGAAAAAACCTCAAAACCATAACCTCACATTCCCAAAACCCATTTTGTTTAATGTAACTCCATATGGCGCCATGTGGCCTTCACACCTCCTCCTCCTCATTCCTCCTATTCCACTTCCCCTCCCACAAAATTCTTCATCAGCACTGCACTGTGCAGCAACATCAGCGTCCTCAAATGACAGTGATGACAAAGTCTGACAAGGGCCTGTGAGATGTATCCTGTGGCACAAGTGGAATTGAATGTAGGCTTGAACCTCGCCACAAATTTCCTAACCGCACGCCACCATCTTCAGCTGCATCCTTGACCAGGCAGGTGTTTCTTCTACAGATGCTGGGGCAAAAAGAAAAAAATATCTCCTTCCTGGGGCAGCACAGTGGCTAAATGGTTAGCACTTTTGCCTGGCAGTACTAGGGTCGTTGGTTCAAATCCCAACCACAGCACCACATGCCTGGAGTTTGTATGTTCTCCCTGTGCCTGCATGGGTTTCCTTCAGGTACTCCAGTTTCCTCCCAGAATTTAATTGAGGTTAATTGGATCATGTCTAAACTTTCCCTAGTATGTGTATGTATGAATGTAAGTTATGGACCTTAGATTGTACACCCCTTTAAGGTTAGGGACTGATGTGAATGTACAATATATGTATATAAAGCGATGCATAAATTGACAGCGCTATATAAGTACCTGTAATAAATAAATAATAATCACCCAGAGTCTCAATGCCAGCTTGGAAAAATAGCTAACCTTACAACTACTTCTATTTTTGCTGGTAGAGTTACTTACTTTCACAAGTTTATAGCCTGTGCTGCACCACAATGGCTGGTACCCAGTAGCTATTTCTTTTCCAGAATGCCATGCCTACCCTTCCTTCCCACCATCATGTACAAGGTAGTGTGTCCTGGAAACACTTATTGGCAAAATGCTGGCTGTCCTCCCACAAGGTGGCCTTGGCTTCAAGCTTCCTCTGTGTTCTGTATGTCACTGCACATTTCTTTGCAAAAGAAGTGTGGTCCAAAGCACGCCCTATTTCGTCCCCCTATTTGCCATATCTGCCATTAAATTTATTAAATCTGGTGGCTTTATTCCACCACACTGAAGGCATATGTGAAGGGAGAGCATCAAAGGGTAGCTGGAACCCCTTCCAAAAAGTGGTTTCACATTTGTTGCTGAAACAGGCAAAGCTGCCCTTTGTGAGATGCATGCCACTGCACACTTCTGTGCAGCAGAGGTTTTCTCCAAAGAATCGCCTTTAAGCTTTTTTTATTTTATTAGTAGTTTAACCACTTCTTGACCGCGCTATTGTTGAATGATGGCTACAGTGCTGTCATCCAGTTCCCCCACCCGGCGCTGCCTGTGATGGCTGTGTCCTTTGGACACAGCTGATCACATGACACTGTAAAGGGCCAATCACAGTGACCTTTTACCATGTGATCAGCTGTGTCCAATCACAGCTGATCACCATGTAAATATACTTGCTGGTTATCGGCAGTACTTTCCTTACTTAAAAAAGTACTGCCAATAACCGGCAACTGTGAAAGGAGACATCTACACTGATAACCAAGGCACTGATATCAGTGCCCTGTATATCAGTACAGCCCCAAAAGTGCCATCTGTGACCAACAGTGTTTCCCATCAGTGCCTAACAGTGCCCAACAGTGCTTCCCAACTGTGCCCAGCAGTGCTGCCAAACTGTGCCCAGCAGTGCTGCTAATCTGGGCTAGTCAGTGCTGCCTACTAGTGCCCATCAGTGCTGCCTATCAGTGCCCATCAATGCTGCCTATCAGTGCCCATTATTGCCGCCTATCAGTGCCACATATCAGTGCAGCCTCATTAGTGCCTCCTCATCAATGCCCACCAGTGCTGCCTCATCAGTGCTGCATCATCAGTGCAGCCTATCAGTGCTGCCTATCAGTGCCCATTAGTGCTGCCTATCAGTGCCTGTCAGTGCAGCCTCATGAACACACATCAGTGAAGGAGAAATTTTACCTGTTTGCAAAATTTTATAATAGAAGCAAAGAAAAAACATTTTGTTTTAATTTTTGGTCTTTTTTCGTTTACAGAGCAAAAAATTAAAAACCTAGTGGCGGTTAAATACCACCAAAAGAAAGCTATTTGTGTGAATAAAAATTATAAAAATTTCATATGGGTACAGTGTTGCATGACTGAGCAATTGTCATTTGAAGTGTGGCAGTGCTGAAAGCTGAAAATTGACCTGGGCAGGAAGGGGATAAAAGTGCCCAGTAGGTAAGTGGTTAATAGTTTTTTTATGGTTTTTTTTATCATGGGTTCCCTGCAGGATAAGGCCACTATCTCAGACACTGGCCTTGCAAAGGTGTGGATGGTGAGAAGAAGTTCTCTTGGCATTATCTGTATATTACTCTCTGATGTAAAACCGCTTTTTCATTATGGCTTCAACTGCCTCCTTGGCCTCCTCTGGCAATGTAGAGGGTATTGATAGCATAATGGACACTGGCTTTAAAAGGAGTTGAAAATCTCACTCAAGGAACTCAACAAAAGAGAAGCAAAGTGTTAACTAATCCATATAACAGAGTTTTGAATATGATCAGTGAAGATGTTTTACTTATTGAAGCCATCAAATAAAAAGTGCGTTTATCCACTTTTCACAAAAAAAAAGCCAGAGCAGTCAATGCACAGTATGTAAGCAGCTTTATTAGGCTGCTGTTTCTCAAAAGGAAAGTTGAGGCAATTTTATTAGAAAATAAAAATGAGATTGTATTATTTCACAAATAGGAATGTTGCCAGGAATATTGTGCAGTGGATGCACAGTACATACCCACATTTGTTAGGCAACAATTTAAGAGGGAGCTAGAGGGAAAATTTTATTATGAAATAAAAATGTGAATTTATTACTTCAGAAAAAAGGGGCATAAATATTGTAGTGATTCAGTGAACAGTATATCAGCAACTTTAGTAGGTTGCATTTTAGGGAGAAAAAGATCTGGCATGTTTCATCGTAAGCACATGAAAAACTCAGTAAATTTCAGCGCTCAGAGGTCTACCAAAGAGGAAGGTGGTCACAAATGATGTATGATATACAATTGATCATGAACTTTGCCCCAGGAATGTGTAGTAGATGCTGCCCTCCTCAACCAGGAAAGTCTTGTAAAAACTACAAAAAGAACAAACAGGAGGGCCCAAATGTCTAGTGCCTTACCAACGATTTATTGTTCACAAAACATAGATGTCAAATGTATACTCACAGAATTGGAAATTAAAATCGCATAAAAACCGCACGATACCACAGTATAGGGAATCGCGTGTCCATGCAACCCGGCTGGACTGGCAATCTGACACGTTTCGGAGGCATACCTCCTTCCTCAGAGCTATACTAACTAACGTGATAGAGCCAGGTCTATATATATATATATATATATATATATATATATATATATATATATATACGTATATACATATACACTAGTCTTAGTCCGTAGGGTTCAACTTGAAGTTGGCCAGCCCTTTGCAGCTATAACAGCTTCAACTCTTCTGGGAAGGCTACAAAGTTTAGGAGTGTGTCTGTGGGAATGTTTGGCCATTCTTCCAGAAGTGCATTTTTGAGGTCAAGCACTGATGTCAGACGAGAAGGCCTGGCTCGAGTCTCTACTCATTATCACTATTCATCCCAAAGGTGTTCTTTCGGGTTGAGGTCAGGACTCTGTGCAGGCCAGTCAAGTTCCTCCACCTCAAACTCGCTCATCCATGTCTTTATGGAACTTGCTTTGTGCACTGGTGCGCAATCAGGTTGGGACAGGATGGGGCCATCCCCAAACTGTTCCCACAAAGATGGGAGCATGAAATTGTCCAAAATGTCTTGGTATGCTGATGCCTTAAGAGTTCCCTTCACTGGAACTAAGGGGCCAAGCCCAACCCCTGAAAAATAACCCCACACCTTTATCCCCCCTCCACCAAACTTTACACTTGGCACAATGCAGTCAGGCAAGCACTGTTCTCCTGGCAACCGCCAAACCCAGACACATCCACCAGATTACTAGACAGAGAAGTGATTTGTCACTCTGAAAACATGTCTCCACTGCTCTAGAGTCAAGTAGTGGCAATGTTTTGCATTGCACTTAGTGATGTAAGGCTTGGATGCAGCTGCTCGGCAATGGAAACCCATTCCATGAAGCTCTCTGTGCACTGTTGTTGTGCTAATCTGAAGGCCACATGATGTTTGGACGTCTTTAGCTACTGACTCTGCAGACAGTTGGCGACCTCTGCGCACTGTGTGCTTCAGCATGCGCTGACCCCGCTCTGTCATTTTACGTGGTCTACCACTTCGTGGCTGAGTTGCTGTTGTTCCCAGTTGCTTCCACTTTGCTATAATACCACTAACAGTTGACCATGGAATATTTAGTAGCAAGGAAATTTCATGGATGGACTTATTGCACAGATGGCAACCCATCACTGTACCATGCTTGAATTCACTGAGCTCCTGAGAGCAAACCATTCTTTCATAAATGTTTGTAGAAGCGGTCTGCATGCCTGGGTGCTTGAGAGAGAGAGGGAGCATAAAGAGATGAATAGGTAAATGAGAAAATTAACATACTGACCAGATACAACTATTTGGGTGGCTTAGCATTGACATCAGAAAATGTCAGAATGGGCTCATATAGAAGGGCTTTCTGTGTGGACGGAGGATGTCCATCACGGCCAACGTCTGCTGGAACACAAGCCAGAGGCTTCTGAAAACCGGAAGTGTACCATTCATCACAGGTCACAGAAAGTGATGTCATATACACACAGGAAGCTAGCTGCAAATGCTCTCCCTCAAAAGCGATCTATAATTCAGGGGACCAAAGGGACCAAGAAGGAGAGGGGAAATATTAAAAAATACAAAATGCAAAATAACTATATAGTGTATATGGTGATGGTGATGAAAATAAAAAACAAGATGCAAAAAGCAAAACAAAAAATAAAATTAAATTAAAAGAATAATCAATTAAAAAAAAAAAGGAAGGAGTTTTTGTTACCATGTATAAGACCAGGGGCTTGAATCTACAAGAGGCCAGCATAAATATAAAAACAATAATATATAATATGTCTAAAAAAAATCGTTGGATATAAATATATATGGATATGAAAATACAGATGTAATAAATAAAATGAAATATATACATGCAAACTGGCAATAAAAGCAAATTGATGAAGCCTCAGTGATAAAATTATATCAACAAATGGATAAGGATATATATATATATATATATATATATATATACAAATGCAGACTTTTACATCACTGAACATACAAAAAAAATTATATACCAGTGCGAATTGGTTTAATCAATGTGTGAGAATGAAAAGATATTCCACAAACTGTAAGACTAATGTCAAAGACCCTTCATGGACAGGCATATATTATGTGGGTAAGACCATAATCATAATCCATAATAATGAAAAAAAAAACCACGAAAAGAAGGGCAGGACAAAAGAAGGAAGCACAGGTCTAGGGTCATGTACGCATGTTCAAAATTTTAAAAATTACTAAATATATCTATAAAGCTGTATAGTTGTAAAGGAGGTGTTAAGCATGGATATTTGTTGTGTATCCAACTGGCCCTAGGTCAAGGGAACAAGAGGAGTTAGTACATCAAAGCCTGAACATCCAGACCTGCACAAAGGCCCTTCAGAGACACAGAACTGAGTCAGTGTATCTAAAAGGTTTCCATTTTGCATAATTTGCAAAAGCATCTTCCAAGGTCTGCATCTTCATTGACAGTTTCCAATCCAAAGATTTTCAGCCCTGAAGGGTCCTTATTGTGTTTTCCAGAGAAATGGCATAGAACTGAATGTTTATCAAAGCCTTTTAGTATATTCCTCTTGTGTTCACCAAAAAAACGGATGCACAATGTACATCTCGTCCAACCAACATAAAGGAGACCACAGAGACAGATCAGACAGTATACCACAAACTGGGACACACAGTTGATAAACTGCCAGATGGAGAATATCTGGCCATTGTTCCCTGTGACTGACTTCTTCCTCTGCCACATGAAATGACAGGCTCCACAATTCAGAGTTCCACATCTGAAGCTTCCCTTTTGATCAAAGAGGCTTCTCCAGGTGGTTCTAGCAACGCCTTTCCAAAGTCGGACCCTGCTGAGGGCAATATAGCTGTTCAAATCTTTGGGCTTCTGAAATATGATATTGGAACTCCCAGGGACGGCACTCTGTAAATTAGAATCACAACATAAAATGTTCCAATATTTGCCTATAATTCACTTGATGGCAAAGGCTTTGTTGTTGTGCCAGGTACTGCACACGATATCATATCGCTCACAATTTGTTTTGGGTTTGTCAGTACCAAAAGCCCTGCAGATCTCACACCAGGGGCTCCTATGATCATCTTCCTGGGCTATGTTCACCATCTGGTCGGTGTACATATTATGATACTTGACATCTCCTCAATAGGAGGATGACAATACCCTTTCTCCTGAAAATGTTTTCTTTAGTATCTTACTCTGCTCATCATAGTCCTGCAACCGACTGCATGTCCTCTTGAGATGACAGAATTGCCCAAAGGAAACATTGCTGATCCACCTAGGGTGATGGTGGCTGCAGGCATTCAGATACGAGTTGCCAGACGACGGCTTTAAATGTGTCCGGGAAATAATCTGCAGGTCTGCATCCACCATCAGTTCCAGATCCAGGAACACCAGTCTGTGGTCATCCACAGCGTGAGTGAATTGGATGCCATGTGGATTGCCCGGGAAATGTTCAAGGAATGATTCCAGCTGGTGATCTATGCCATCCCAGATGATAAGGATATCATCTATGTAATGGGTATAGATGACCAGGTTCACCCCAAAAGGATTGTGAGTCCAAATGTGAAATTGTTCCAAGTTTACTATGAACAGATTGGCATAGCTGGAGGTGAACCTGGCCCCCATGGCGGTGCCCTGAATTGCCTATAGAAGTCATCCTAGAACATAAAATACACTACTCAAAAAAATTAAAGGAACACTTTTTAATCAGAGTATAGCATCAAGTCAGTTAAACTCCTGGGATATTGATCTGGTCAGTTAAGTATCAGAGGGGGTTGTTAATCGGTTTCAGCTGCTTTGGTGTTAATGAAATTAACGACAGGTGCAGTAGATGGGCAACATTGAGATGACCTCCAAAACAGGAATGGTTTTACAGGTGGAGGCCACTGGCATTTTTTCCCTACTCATCTTTTCTAGCTGTTTTTCACTAGTTTTTCATTTGCCTAGGGTCACTGTCACTGCTGGTAGCATGAGGTGATACCTGGACCCTACAGAGGTTGCACAGGCAGTCCAACTCCTCTAGGATGGCAAATCAATATGTGCCATTGCCACAAGAGCATGGAGGAGATTCCAGGAGACAGGCAGTTACTCTAGGAGAGCTGGACAGGGCTGTAGAAGGTCCTTAACCAAGCAGTAGGACCAGTATCTGCTCCTTTGTGTAAGGAGGAACAGGATGAGCACTACCAGAGGCCTACAAAATGAGCTCCAGCAGGCCACTGGTGTGAATGTCTCTGACCAAACAATCAGAAACAGACTTCAGGAGGGTGGCCTAATGGCCCCAGGTCCTCTAGTGGGCCCTGTGCTCACTGCCCGGCACCACAGAGCTCGATTGGCATTTGCCATTGAACACCAGAATTGGCAGGTCCGCCACTGGTGCCATGTGCTTTTCACAGATGAGAGCAGGTTCACCCTGAGCACATGTGACAGACATGAAAGTGTCTGGAGAAGCCATGGAGAACACTATGCTGCCTGTAACATCATTCAGCATCACTGTTTTGGTGGTGGGTCAGTTATGGTCTGGGGAGGCATATCAATGGAGGGGCACACAGACCTTTACAGGTTAGACAATGGCACCCTGACTGCCATTGGGTATCAGGGTGAAATTTATGGACCCATTGTCAGACCCTACATTGGTGCAGTGGGTCCTGGGTTCCTCCTGGTGCACAACAATGCCCAGCCTCATGTAGAAAGAGTATGCAGGCAGTTCCTGGAGGATGAAGGAATTGATACCACTGAATGACCCCTATGCTCGCCTGACCTAAATCCAATAGAACACCTCTGGGATATTGTGTTTTGGTCCATCCCACACCACCAGAGTGGCATTTTCTGCCTGTGACATGGAGGAGCTATGGTTTTGTCTGGCTTCACTGCATAGAGCAGAAAATTCAGCATAAACCATCTCATAAAAGGTGGAAATGTAATTGCCTTTGGCCCATTGAGGATGGAAGATGGACCTGGGCCTGAAGTGAGTATGAGTGACTGGAGCCAGACTGACATAACTGCTAGGGGGATCTGGGTGAGGAATCTCAACATCATGTGCATTCTCAGACGATAGGTCCTCCAAAATGTGCAGGATGTCCCTATCTTGGGTCTCATCCAAAATGTCACAGGTGTCTGTACTTGTGGTGCCTTCATTCTCCAAAGGAGTGTTTCCCTTCAATGTAAAATTCCATTTCAAAGTGAGATTCTGGATGAATCTGTTGAGATCTACAAAGAGCTCAAACAAATCTGGGGGATTAGGTGGAGCAAAGTTCAACCCTTTGCTTAGCAAGGCCACGTTTTATTGTAAAAGAATTACAGTGTCTTATTTCAGAGCCGATATCCATCTTTTAATAAAACACTGTCAGAGTATGTTAACTTTGATGACAAAAAAGCCACCAAAAGATTATATTGCACAGTATTTAAGCACTTTTACTAGGTCACATTTTAAATAGAAAAGACACCAGCCATCTTTTAATCTAGAAATCTATCAGCAATCCACAGCTAAGATGGCCAAATCTGTGTGTCAGAATGGACTGGCCAGCAATGGTGGGACTCACCTGCCTTTTGATCTGCAGTACCAGGGCTGGCCAGCGGGTGCTCCCAGCAATCAGAGACTCAACCTTTCAGCCAGCTAACACCTGGAACTGATGATACTGGTGTATTTAAGGGATGGCCAGACTTGCAGACTCTGCCTTGGTGTTGTGTTTGTCCTGGGCCCTGTATCTGTCCTGCATCCTGTTTCTGTTCCTTTGCTACCTGTTCTGATCCCTGGCTTGTGACCCTGACCATCCCTCTGCCTGACCCTCTGTACTACGCTGCTTGCTACCTGTTCTGATCCCTGGCTTGTGACCCTGACCATCCCTCTGCCTGACCCTCTGTACTACGCTGCTTGCTACCTGCTGAACCTGGCCTGTGACCCCGACCATTCTCCGCTTGCTCCCCCTGTACCTACCTGCCCAATTGATATTGACTCGGCCTGCCTGACGACGCTTGCTTGTATGTACTGTTATCTGTGGGTGGTTGGTTTGGTTTGTTTGCACTGTATTATGTTTAGTATTGCACTGCGTTTATGTTTGTATTGTTAGTGTTAATAAATTACATTGTTAATCACATATCTGAAGTCTGCGTTTCCCTGCTTCAGTCACACACCTCTGGTCATACCTGGGAGCCCTGACATTACACCAAGGCCAATCCTGACCAGAAGTGGCTGCACAGGGAAGCCATCTTGGCTTGTTGATGGGAAGGATGGAT